AAATTAAAAAATTAAAATGGATAAATTTGTCAATAAAATTAAAAAATCTTAATTTGTTAGCGGTTTGGTACAAAAAGTTACATAAACTAACTTTTTCAATTCGCTAGCGATTGGGATCCTAATTGCTATCTACTAGTCTCAAAACGCTAAATAAAAATTTTATCAAATACTTTATTTGTAGCGGTTTCGAAATATATAAATTTACCAACATCTATATTTAACGGTTTATATAAAATCGCTAACCGTTATACCAAACGGGTGCTTAACCTATATCGTAAGAATACAAATTAAAAAATTTCAAGTTTTATTTGTTGTAATAATAATTAAATTATTATTATTTTTAAATTTAAATTCAAAGTAAGAAAATTTTTAATTACAAAATTTAATTATTAAATCAATAAATATTGAATTAAAAAGTATACAAATTATTTTACTTTAATAAACTAATTAATGTAGTAGTACTTAAGTGTTTCACTGTACAGGCTTACCTTCCCATACCAATAGCGGTACTTATAGATATAAAAACACACCAAATGTCAACATACTTTAAAAGCAGTTTTGGTATCTTTTGTTGTATATTAATAAAATTATGATATAGTTTTAAAATATATTTTTTAAAATTTTAAAAAATCTATTGATAAACAATAATTTCATAAAATTTATTTTGTTAATAAAAAATTCTTATAAAAATAGGTATCATATCCGAATCTTCCACTCCCACTGTCAATTAAGTTTTGAAAATAGACCTTTTTGTTTGTAGTAAACAAGTAATATGGTATGGATAGATATAATATATAAGCATGCGCTGAGTCGAATAGCTAAGATAGTAACTCGTGGATGATAATTGATGCCAGAAAGACGAGTTTGCAATTGTTTCTATCCTCTTCAGTAGAGATATTGCACGATGTTTATAGAAAAAGTGGAAAAACCAAAGTTTTGGTTATAGATATTATCCAAAAGTAAGCACGCACTTGTCGTTATATCTAAAATCCATCGATATTCGGATC